TTTTTGTGGAGCTGTCGGCGCAGCAGCTGCTGGATTGCTCCCGGAGCTACGGCACCGATGGCTGCCACAGCGGCTTTCCCCAGAACGCATTTGAATACCTCGTCGACACAGGCAATGGCCTCTCGATCGCATCGGATTACCACTTCACAGGTTTCAATGCCACCTGCCGAAAACATGTAAGTACGTGCACCATTGTTTTTTACTAAAGTGCTGCTCTCCAGAACCGCTACTCCGTCGGCATTGACGACTACGACAATCTCTATGGCTCCAGCGACGACACGGACATGGTCGCGCAGGTTGCCAAGCAGCCCGTGACAGCTCTAATCGATGGCAATGCGCCAGAGTTCCTTCGCTACAAAGGGGTCAGTGAAAAATCTTTTTTTTTTTTTTTTTCTTTTGTGAAGGACAAGTCGCTGAAGCCTTCGAACTAAAAATGCAGGGGATTTACAAGGGCCCATGCAAAGATGACCAGGCAACTCCGTATCTAGCGGTGCTCATCGTCGGCTATGGATCCGAAAACGGCCAGGACTACTGGATCATCAAAAACTCGGCGGGGACAAGCTGGGGAGAGCAAGGCTACATGAGGCTGCAGCGTGGAAACCATGGCCTTCCACTGGGTCGATGTGGAGTGAATGGCTTCGTCTACTTTCCCGTCAAACAGAAGCCACCGCCATCTCCACCACCGCCATCTCCGCCGCCACCCTCTCCTCGACCGCCACCGTCGCCCCCGGTTCCGTGCAGTAAAAGGATTAGCTGCAGGTCGCTGATTCCAACCTTTGCGTGCTGCCCTCCCAGGGCCAGACCCTGCTGCTGCCCCTGGTGGAAAAGATGTGGTGAGTATGGATGCTCTCTTTAAACACTTACGTGTATAAGAGCACAAGAGACATTTCAGCATCTTAAATATCGAGCCTTTCCTTCAAAAGGTCTGGTGGCATGACTTCTCTTATGTCATGGCTCCTTCAGACTTCAAATCGGCAAAATAGGCTTCGGGTTATCTTTTTCTAAGAGTTTGCTGTGTTCAAGCTTAGATGCCACACCCGCATTGGAAGGTAAGCCAACTTGGAGATCATTCAGCAGCCCACAGCTACAACCAGTTCTGGAGATCCATTGTACGTGAAGGAGACTTGCATGTCCGCGTCACACGGTGTCCCAAAGCAAAGTTGATATGTATTTTAATTCTGGCACGCACCAATGTAGCGGATATGGTCTTGATTAGCTTTGCAACTGGTGGTTCTACTGGATCTTTCTGGGCAGTCATGCGGCACTCAAACCCGATAACTTAGCTGAGAACTTGGACAGCCAAGTTGATCCTCTCGACAACACCAACACCCTCGTATTTTTCCACAATTGCGGGATGCCGCTCAAGCTACTCCTGTCTTGATGCACAGATAAGATCAAGAGGAAAAGAAAGAACACTTCGTGCCGACGTTGCCATCGCCATTGCTGTGGGGACTCGTGTGTTCTTGTCAATAAAAAGAGCCTTGGTTTAGTAGACTTGACCTGGTTAGACTGTTTTGACACGGGATCTCGCCACTGTAGAGTTCGCGATTAAATATCTTAAATGTAAAAGTTCCAAAGCAGGAAAAAAAGAGGAAAAAATGTGTTCTTAAAACTTTCATGGCTGCAAGACTTTGGCAGACGACTTTCCTAGAAGTTGAAACACTGCGGATTTCGACGGCAGGGCGGGGATTGCTCCCCTCTCCGTAGTTGCGATCGCACCGCAAGCATTTGCAAAGAGGAGAGCTTCTCTCAGCCTCGGTTCGTCCTGACACAAAAACATTTGATTCATTCTCCATTTCTAGGAACGCAACGAATCTTACCTTGTACAAGGATGGCTCTTTTACGAGCTGAGTTAAGGCTCCAGCGACGAACGCATCACCTGCGCCTGTTGTGTCGACGGCGTCGACTTTGATACCGTCCACACGACCAAGAAACTCCTGTAACAGTAAGCGAACATGAAAACCAAGGAAAGACAAGGCTAAACAAAAGAAAAACTGGAACCTTTGTGTAATAGCGGCAGCCGCCTTCGCCTTCGGTCACTAGCAAGAGCTTCAAGTTTGGATGCATGAGAGCTTGAGCTGCTTCATCGCTGTAAGGGTCACCTCCTTCAGTTAGAAATGTGATCTCCTCCTCACTTATCTTCAAATTTTAAAGCCACCGAGCAAACTTAGAAACTTGGAAACTTCGACCTTTGAAAAATAAAAGAACTCATTCACACAAACCTTGATGATATCGGCTTCGTTCCAAATGCTTTTGATGCCTGTGCGAGCAGCCTCTGCCGAACTCCACAACGGAAGTCTTAAGTTGGGGTCATACGAGAGGACCGCTCCAGCTTCTCTGGCGATTTTCATCGCGGCCAAGTGAGCGGATCTGCAAGGCTCCGCGATGAGACTGATAGAGCCGTAGTGAAAAATGGACGCCTGGAAGTTATCAAGCCAAGTAAGAACGCAAGTGATGTGAAGTAATACTTTTGATACCTGCTTGATAAGGTCAGCGTCAAGCTCCTCAGGCTTAAGTAACATATCCGCGCTAGGATTGCGGTAAAACATAAACTCGCGCTCGCCATCCTTGCGGAGAGTCACAAACGCGAG